TGATTCCGGGGGAAATCAAGAAAATGCAACATAATAGAAACTTTATAACATGTATGGATTGCAAAGATTAGCTGTCTTACTGCTAAAGGATGGAATTCAGGTTTCCTGAGTTCCTTGGTAATGAAAGAAAGCACTAAATAAAAGAAGGATAAACCCAAATGCAATTTTACTTCTAATATTAATAAATTGCATATACTCAATGAGAAATGGCTTTTAATGGTTCTGTATGACTCAACCTCTCTATCATCATAAAGTAATTCAACAGAGCTCAGTAAAAAGGAATTAATTGGAATTTTCAAGTTCAATATTAGGTTCACTTAACAGTTTAAAACACCTGATGAGTAGAGCCCTTGACTTGCTTTTGCTCCTCTGCTTTTAAATCTTGTTTATAAGAGTTTAATTTCAGTGTAATTATAGGAGTTAATCCAGTGAACAATAAGTGCCTGATTCTATATTTTCTTGGTAAACCAGGAAAAATTGAACTATATCTTTTGCGTATTATAAGGGCGTAGTGAGAATCATTGAATGACCAATCCAACTGTCTCCTTTATGATGGTTACAAGAAAGATCCAATGTATTAAAATGTGAAATCACAGGCAATGTGTTTGTTTGTCTTGGTATATAAAGTATGGTCATCTCTCAATTATTTGAAGCATAGAATAAAAATTTTCTCTTTATAAAAGCTATTTTGAAAGAGAAGAACATTTCTCATAGTGATTTCCCGTCACACATTATTTTCATATTAATGCCCTCCAAAGGCTTGGAATTAAACAAATGTGTTCAAGTCTATATTGACTATCAGTACGACACTTTTGGAGAAGGCAATGGCAACCCACTCCAGTACTCTTGCCTGAAAAATCCCATGGACGGAGGAGCCTGGTAGGCTGCAGTCCATGGGGTCACTAAGAGTCGGACATGACTGAGCAACTTCACTTTCCCTTTTCACTTTCATGCATTGGAGAAGGAAATGGCAACCCACTCCAGTGTTCTTGCCTGGAGAATCCCAGGGATGGGGGAGCCTGGTGGGCTGCCGTCTATGTGGTCGCACAGAGTCGGACATGACTGAAGTGACTTAGCAGCAGCAGCATGACACTTTAGAAGTTATTAAAATGCCGTGATCTTGGTTTCTCATATGTAAATTAAAGATTATAATAATACCCTCCTTGGAAGGTTCTATGAATTATATTAATAAATGAAATGAGATGAACACTTACCACAATATCTATCCCATAGTAAGTAGGGGGGCGGGGCAAGTCAGAGAAACATTCCTGCAACATTGTGTAATAATAAAAGTGACAACAAGAATAATGACACTGCACTAAGTATTTACATGGATTATCTCATTTAATTTTAAAACAACAACATAAGGTGAACACTGTTGTCACTCTTATTTGTAAAATAAGGAAAGATGTAAGATAAGGAAAATGAGACAAAAGATTCAAGAAACATGCTAATGCCACACAGCTAAGAAAAGATAGGGCAAAGGTTGAATAAGTAAAGGTAGCAGCTATTATTATCATATTACTATCCTCATCATCACCATGAACAACCCATCCTGTGATCTTTGTAGCAGACTAGGCTATAAAAATGAGTTCTTGGGTATTTCCAAAGATAATTGCCTCCCCTTGGAAAGAATCCAGAATGAGCCCACATTAAGCTAAATTCTGCATTAGAGTGGGCTGTTATACAGTTGGGAGGATTTATTCCAAGGACCCACAAGGCACATGAAAGATGAATAGATAGAATTTGTCAGATAGTCCTTTACCTTTAAACATATTCCAATGCAGTGAAAGGAAAGAAGATAAAATAATTTTGTCCTTACACAAAGGCATTTTAAACATCATTAACACAATTAATTCATCTGGTTGTCAGTTCCTAGGGAATGAAAGAAAGTCAAAGCTAGGCATACACACCTCAATGAAATATGGTCTGTGTTACCAATGAAAGATAAAGGGATTTTCATGTGAATATATAAGTCTACAGTGAAGTGGTTGAAAATTAAAAATGCAGCATTTACTTAAGTGGAATTCAATAAAGCACTTTTATTCAAAATTCAAAAGTATTTCAGTCATTACATGTCCTTTATCTATTTAATTAAGATATTTATATATATAAAGTTGCAGTATTTTGACTATAAATTAATAAGAAGTGTACACTTTCCTTAAAAAATATTTCAATCACTTATGATCAGGTATGTATAAACTTTTTCAAACATTCATTGAAAATATAGTTAACAATTTCACAGAAACATTATATTATTTAAGTAAATCACAGAATAGCTGAATATAACATTAATATATATACATTCTCATTACTTATTCAAAAACCTAGATAAAATGTTCTAGATTTGTAATCATAGACATTTTGAATGTGGCTTCAAATGACTTTTTCACTTTTATAATTGTCAGCTTAAGGTATCTTGTGATTTTTCTTTTATCCAATTTAAAAACATGACTATTAAGAATGTTGTTCATTAATAAACTTGGAAATATTCATAAAAATTGGAAGAATTAAAAATACAAGCTGTACCTGGAGATTCAATATTCATATCGATATTTCAAAGACTTGATAGATAAAGTGAAAAACCAGTAGAGCACTTCATCACACAAGACTGTTAATGGAGAATCACCTGAATATGACATCTGATGACTCGGGAAATATACCCAAAGTCATTAGATTGTCGAGTTTTCATGTCTCAGTTCTGTGCTGCCTCCTACATGACAATCATGTTCCTCCCATGCTAAGTAGGAACAAAACTGAAAGCAAGACCTCACCACCCACAACTACTTAGCAGCAATTCTTCTTTCACTTCTTCACATACTTCAAGATATATGTCAAGTCAAGATCAGAGACCAGAAGGGACACCCTTTGAATGGATTCATTCGCACCCCTGCCACCGCCCCCCATTGTATATTTTCCATTGAACTCTCTGACTCAAACCTGGACAATCAATGAAAGGGCAGAGATAACAGATTAAAGGGGTCAGTCCATGGAGGAAGGCAGGGATTTTTACTATCCAAGAGACTCTATATTTTAAGATGGGTCATTTGTGTTTGTATACTTCCAGTTAACTAGTAATCATCTTCCTAGTTATAATCAGGACTAACTATTAATTAGTTGAAATCATTTTAGTCATATTGAAGGTCAATTGAAAATGTTGGTTCTTAGCAGTTGAAATGAAATCTGGAGTCAGAAAGACCCCTCCACATACTCCTTTACACATTCACTGTACAACTGGGAGAGCTTCTGAGCTGAGATTTGTGGATTACAGTACATGGGCTTCCCAGACGGCTCAGTGGTAAAGAATCTGACTGAAATGCAAGAGACACAGGTTAGATCCCTGTGTCTAACCTCCTCCAGGATCTGGAGGAAATGTCAACCTGCTCCAGTATTCTTTTTGGGAAAATCCCATACAGTCCATAGAGTAGGAAAGAGTCAGACACGACTGAGAATGCATGCAGCAGGGAAGGATAATAGAACTTACTTAATGGAATCATTGTGAGAATTCAGATGCTTAGCTTGAGGCTTACTTTAAGGATGGTTACTGTTACAATTCCATAGGACACCACTAATTCCAACTGAAGTCCAAGGTCCGGGTGGCAGTGCAAGAAACCCATGAGCCTCAGGTACAATTGCTAACCTCTGGTCACCTGTCCAAGATCTCCCTTCTCACCCAAAGCTGACATTCTCCTCAGCCAGTTTTCTCCCTTCCTCACAATAACCTGTAAAGTTATGAGAGACTGCTCCTGCTAATCATTTGATTCAAGTTATTCACACTAAGGGATGAATAAGCTACTGCTAATCATTTGATTCAAGTTATTCACACTAAGGGATGAATAAGGCAGAACTTTTGGCTTTATTCAATGCCCAAACAATCAATAATTGAAATACTGAAGAAGTTTTTCTCTCTATGCAAGGGAAAATCTTCACTACCCTAAAACAAACAAACAAACAAACAAAAAACTTCACAGTACCTATATACTAAGTCAAGTCCCTAAGTCGTGTCTGACTCTTTGCAACTCCATGGACTATAACCCACCAGGCTTCCCTGTCCATCTGTCTCTATCTCCGCCAGTTTGCTCAAATTCATATCCATAGAGTCAGTGATGCTGTACAACCATCTCATCCTCTGCTGCCCTCTTCTCTTTTGCCCTGGATCCTTCAAAGCGTCAGGGTATTTTCCAATGAGTGGGCTCTTTGCATCAGGTGGCCAAAGTATTGGAGCTTCAGCATCAGTCCTTTCAATGAATATTCTACTTCACAGTATTGTTATGATGATTATATAAGGTACTGGATGAGTAAGGGGCTTACAAAAATTTCCTGGCCTAAAGTAAGCACCCAGTAAATACTGAGTATTTTTTAATTAAAACTTGAACTTTTACTAAGGAAGGTGTTGAGGCCTTTGCTGGCTAGAGGTCCCACTGCCAGCTAACAAAGCCGTAACTAAACAGCTGTGTTTTAGATCAGTCTATGAAAAAGCCCTTTGTACTGCATCAACCTGCCTGCTTATCTCCTTAAATATACTTTGAAAACTACTTACAAGGGGGAAAAAAAGAGATAAGTATGGTTCACTCATTTTTGCAAAGACTTTAAAAAAAAAAAAAATGCAAGGTTCCCAGAAGCTTGCTGAAAATAATGGGGAAAACCTTGAAGCGTGCCACCCAAAGCAGTTAACATAATTGCCCTAACCCTGAATTTAGCAGGATTAGGGAAGTTACACAGCTGAAAATTTTGTTCTTTAGCATTCCTGAGCGCACAGATTCAGGGAACCGGGAATCTAATATAGGAATCCTTGAAGTGCCTTCAGGATGAATGTAATATTCAGAGTCACCGAGCGCCTCACTTCCTCCTCCGGTCTCAGCTCCCTCCGCTCCCCGCACTCCCCACAGCTGGCGCCGGGAACCGCCGGGGGCTGGGAGGGAACGCGGGCGGGGGCGGCCACCCTCCGCCGCAGCCGCGGGGCCGGAGCCGCGAGGCGCGTGGCGACGAGCGGAGACCAGAGGAACTCGGTGGCGAGCACAGCTCTGCTCCCGGACCTGTCAAGTCAGATTCGTGTAGATCCAGAGGATCAAACCCAGGCTCCGTAACCAGCAGCGAGCTCTGAGCGCAACCCAGATGTGCCCGGAGCAGCAGGTGAGTCACCCTGCCCGCCTCCCCACTCCAGCCCCGTGTCCAACAGGTTGGCCAAGGCGCGACTCCCGGGGGCCCCCGAGGATGCACTCCTAGCCTCACCTGGGCGCGGCGCTAGGCTTCTCCCTTCGCGGAGTCGTCGTGCCTATTTAAACTCCTGCCCCAGCCCACGCCTGTTCTAGTCCTTGTCTTTTTGCCTTCCCTTCTCCTAAAATGACAGCTCCTCTGTGTGCCGAGAAACGAGCCCAGAACACCTCCTCTCCAGGAAACTTGTAGGGACAGACTCGGCTGAACCGAAGGGCGCAAAGTGTCTCAACACGTGATGGGAGCTGACCACGGCGACCCCTGGTTCACAGTGACTCGCTGAGACTTAATCAAAAGTCAGCGTTAACTGCCCTCATTTCCCTACCAGGAGGTCAAAAATTAGGAGAGGAGGGTGCCAGATTGGATTGAGAGTGAATGCCAGCAAATGATGCGCCTCGCGCGCCCAGGTCACCCTCCCCCACGTGCGCACATCCCCAGCGACCCCTCCCCGGGAAGCCTATGAGGCCGCGCCGCAAAAGAAGAGGGAGGATTATACATCTTGAAGTTGGAAAAGACTCAGACCCGGTTACCCCTTTCTTTGCTGCTGAACTTTTCATTTTGGTCCCCTGCAGGCGGGCGTGAGTTTCGCCCACCCCCTTGCTTACATTCCTTCAAGATTCGACAAGCCCTCCTCCACGGTAGACCTCTCTCCTCTTTCCCCTCCCCACCCGCTCCAGCGGCTGCGAGGCCTTCCACTGGAGGTCTCAGTTACAAAGTTGGAGAGCGGGTAGTGAGTCCGAGAAGGACCACGGCGACCAACTGTGTGCCCGGCGGCTGTCCTCTGCTTGGTCCGCACGTGAGCGATTCCCTAGGGCGCCACCCCTCGTCTCCATCCCAGGCACGGATGCGCGACTCCCGCGCACTCGAGGCTCCCTAGCGGCGAAAGGGAGAATCAGCACAGCGGGTGGAGAGAGGAAGGGTTCGCGGGTGGGAGGAACCCCCCTCGGGAGCCCGGGAAATCCCGGCTTGCCAACCCCCTCCCCCCCAACTTCGAGGCGCTCTCCGGCAGCGGCGGCGAGGATGGAGCTGCCTCCCCGGGGCCGGGCGCTGCCGGACTCCTCGCTGGACAGCGCCTCCCTGACCTCGCTGGACTCCAGCGTCTTCTGCAGCGACGGTGAAGGGGAGCCCCTGGCGCTCGGGGACAGCTTCACCGTCAACGTGGGCGGCAGCCGCTTTGTGCTGTCGCAGCAGGCGCTGTCCTGCTTCCCGCACACGCGCCTGGGCAAGCTGGCCGTGGTGGTGGCCTCGTGCCGGCGCCGCGGGGCCCTGGCCGCCGTGCCCAGCCCCCTGGAGCTCTGTGACGACGCCAATCCTGTGGACAACGAGTACTTCTTCGACCGCAGCTCGCAAGCCTTCCGCTACGTCCTGCACTACTATCGCACCGGCCGCCTGCACGTCATGGAGCAGCTGTGCGCGCTCTCCTTCCTCCAGGAGATCCAGTACTGGGGCATCGACGAGCTCAGCATCGACTCCTGCTGCCGGGACAGGTACCCGCGAGGCGCCGGGGGCGGGGGCGCGGGGAGGTGGGTGCCGGGGCGGCGGAGCGGGCGCCCTGGGGATGGGGCGAGCGGGCGCCGTGGGGACAGGGCGGCCGCGGACAAGATTTGAGACTGCACCCAAGCCTCGCTCGAGCCGGGCCTAAGAATACTACCTGTGGGTCGTTTAGGAGCCAGAAGAAGGCAGGGTGGCAGTGGGGGCCGGAAAGCATCAAAGACAAGTTTTGATGGAACTTTTTGAACCTTCTGCTTTTTCTAGTGAAGGAGTGCTAATTCACTTGTAATCAAGAGCGGTCAGGCCTGCAATAAATGTCTGGTGATTGAAAAGATGAGTCAAAAATTATGCTCCCGAAAATGCACCTAAAGGGACGTAGGTTACAATATAGAGAGTGGTACTTTATCACACTTAGGACGCTTCAGTTTTAAGACTTGGATAAAGAACTGCTTTAAATCCAGAAGACAGAAAGTTGGTTCTTTGTGAATAAGTGTGGGACTTTGGTGATCTATTATTTTGCAATTACTTTGCTATTATTACCATTTCATCATGAATATCTTTCCATTACCCTCATTTTAAAAAAAAAAAAAAAAACCCTATTGCAAACTTCTGTTCTTGTTACAAGAAAAAAGTAGGTCTTAAAATGCATTAATCTAAAGTAGCTTTGCTATGTATAATTTATTCTGTATAAACTTCTACCACAAAAGCACCATTTTAAAAGCAATAATCTTTCACATTTGAGTCCTGTGAAAAGACGGCCTGGGTGAAATATGGCATGAACTTGATCTGCATGTTACTGAATTAAGAAGCATGATTTCACTGCCGAGTTCAAGTCTCATTTCACTTCAGTATTTTTTAAGTTAGACTAATCACCAGGTTGTCTTCCCTAAAAGATACTTCAGAAGAAAGGAGCTGAGTGAAACGTTAGACTTTAAGAAGGACACAGAAGACCAGGAGAGTCAGCATGAGAGTGAACAGGACTTCTCCCAGGGCCGTTGCCCCACCATCCGCCAGAAGCTCTGGAACATCCTGGAGAAGCCTGGGTCATGCACAGCGGCCCGAATCTTTGGGGTCATCTCCATCATCTTTGTGGCGGTGTCCATCGTCAACATGGCCCTGATGTCAGCAGAGTTAAGCTGGCTGGACCCGCAGCTGCTGGAAATCCTGGAGTATGTGTGCATCAGTTGGTTCACGGGGGAGTTTGTCCTGCGCTTCCTGTGCGTGAGGGACAGGTGCCGCTTCTTGAGGAAGGTGCCGAACATCATAGACCTCCTTGCCATCTTGCCCTTCTACATCACTCTCCTGGTAGAGAGCCTGAGTGGGAGCCAGACTACGCAGGAGCTGGAAAACGTGGGGCGCATCGTCCAGGTTTTGAGGCTGCTCAGGGCTCTGCGCATGCTCAAACTGGGCAGGCATTCCACAGGTATTCAGGTTTCTTGATGCCTTTTCATTCGTTGTTGTTCTTAAGCATTAGGCTTTGACCTTGGTCCAAGGGAAGCGATTCTTGACCCTCAGTTGACACTCAGAATATCATCTATATTTCACCCAATTATGATCTCCAGAAAGGTACTGAAATGCAAAACCTTGAGGTTGTTATCACAGGTAGAGAAGACAACTTGCCTCTCATATACTTTCTCTGCTTAAGACATGTGAGAAACTATTTAACCATATGTTCATTTTAATTTAACCCAGGTGCCCAGAAGATATACAAAAATTAAAGACACTCTGCTTCTGGAAGGTGCTACATAAAATATGCATAAACAGCACATAAAAAGATATGTACAAATTATATATGATATACAGGAACACAAGCCAGTTTCTTTTCTGTGTCAAAGGAAATGTTTTTCACACAAGTTTGTTGGCAGAAGAGAAAGTCAGTCCTCCAGGACCTTCTCTGGCTATGCAAAAAGAGATGACTGGGCACTGGGGGCCTTCTCATACTTTGGGGGGAAACAATGGAAATGTTTGCTTTAGAAGTAAAAGGGTCTTTGCGACCCTTTGGACTGTAACCCACAAAGCTCCTCTGTCAATGGGATTTCCAAGGCAAGAATGCTGGAGTGGGTTGCCATTTCCTCCTCCAGCAGATCTTCCCATCCAAGGGATGAAACCCACATCTACATCTCAGGCAGAGTCTTCACTGTGAGCCATCCAGGAAGCACTGACAAGAAATCCAAAGACACTAATTAAATGCTCTGTCTAATATCTGAGAATTTTTTTTGTCCTGAATTGGGGAGGCATAAGAGAGACAGTAACAAGAATGCCTTAGCTTTTGTATGTATCCATAAAGCCTTGAAAATCTTAAGAACACTCTCTCTAGAAAAATCTCTACACAATACAAACACACACAATTGTACATGAAAAATTATAGGCAAATCAGAGGAAATCATACAAATCCATAAAAGATGATGCTTCCATCCCCAAGGGCAAGGATTCTCAGTGGCTGGCCCTGCCGTCTGTTAGATGTTCTGGAGCACATATGTGTTCCCTTATGTTAGACTTTAATAAAAACAAGAATCCCTTGAAAAGCTTGTTAAAATGCAAATTCTGAGCCCCAACTCCAGAGACTCAGATTTTAGTTTTGGGGGTTGGATCCAGAAGCATACATTTTAATAAGCTAACTTTGATGTAGGTGGTCTTGAGAAACACTGGAGTAGGATGCAACATTAATACAATACATATAAATACAAATAACTGATCGGAGACTCCTATTCCCACTTATTTGCCTAGATGTATGCCTGACTAATCACCTAAAAGGAGTTGATGGTAGAGGTCTTTCCCTATATATCTAGGATAAAATGAACCTCAGATATGTTTTCCCCCCACATCTCTGAGGAAACTAGGACTTCTGATATAATTTTGGTAGTGTATTTTCCTAGCTAGTCATTTTGGTAGTGTATTTTCCTAGCTAGTCTCACATACTAGGGGTTTGATAATGGGGTTTCCAACAACTTTTAGAAGTACCACTCTTTGTTTTCTGACACCCATAATAGGATGCTTTCTCCTAGTATTTATAAACTCTTCACAGGATTCAATTTAAAAACACCCAGTAAAGACTACATTTTTCCCCAAAAGAAAGGAAAAAGAAAATAATAGTAATTTCCACAATGTCACCTCTTCAAAGGTTTTCTCAGTTCTAAGGCAAGTAGAAGGATTAATAAAATATTAATTTATTGAAAAGATATGAACAGTTGCAATGAATATTTGACAGTTTTATCTTGAGCATTACATTTAGCAAAGTATAAACATAGAGCACGTATTTCTCTAGGTATTAACTATAAATAAATTTGAGAAGTATTATAGGCCTAGTATAAACTAGGCTGTGGACCAGACATCCTAGTTTTAAGTCTTTGGCATGTTACTTTGTACTAGATATGCTACATTTCTGTGCCTTGGTCTACTCACCCATAAAACAGCATAATAAATATAACATCTATCTCATGTTATTTTTTAGGATTATCTGAGTTAATTGATATGACCTGCAGAAATTCAGACCACTTTGTTTCTTTTCAAAATGAATTGCTTAAAACATTGGAATGAAAACAGTCTTTCCAAACACTATGCATTTCTTCATATGTTCTCAATTTCAGAAATCCAATTCAATACAGACACATCAAGGGCAGTTTTCTAAAAGGTATTCTAAAGATATTGTTTAAAATGACTTTTAAAGTTAAATCTCAAAATTATATTCATTGGTCTTTTAAAATAGCTGGCTAATAATTCAAAAACATCTCAAAATTCTAAGAACAAAATTCAGAATAATCAGAGCAGAAATAGTATTTTAATGTATTTAAAATAGTCTCTAGTGAAAAAAAATTTAAACTTAATTCCAAGAGGTATACTTTGGACTTTTGAGATAATATCATTGTGACATCATGTTAATATGACCTCAAAATGTGGATTAACTTTAATCAGTATCTCTAGTGTTAGGGAAGATGCCTTGCTCAAATAGCGATCCTGTAATGGGCTCCTCTTGCTATAGCTTTGGTATTAAGGACAAAAATTTCAATGGGTGCCACTGAAATGGAGGAGTACTGGAACCCCTCCTGCTGCCCCTTTAAGAATGTCCTCACATGTAGATTTCATGTTCTTATGTGAATTTTGTTCCTGAATCCTAACTTGTTTTTACTGCTTCACTTCATTCTCATCTTTTACTTCTTCTGGCTCTTTCAGATTATGATGCCCCTAATTGTGTTAAACTTTATCAGGAAAGTGAGAAAAACAGACACATAAAATAGAAGGAGACAACATAAAACTGCCTTAGAATAGTGTGCAAGGTGATGCATAGAAATGCAGGCCTGACCAAAATAGCCTTCCTTGTAGAGGCTCTCATTGTATAAAGGACAAAGTGCTATCTAATGTCCCCTGCCTGCCCTTCATCTCATCTCTCATCTTTTTTGTATAAGTAGTAGGTGTCTAATAGCTAGGGGCTTCCCAGGTGGTACTAGTCATAAAGAACCCGCCTGCCACTGCAGGAGACCTAAGAGACGTAGGTTCAATCCCTGGGTTGGGAAGATCCCCTGGAGGAGGGCATGGCAAGAATACCTCCTCCAGTATTTTTGCCTAGAGAATCCCATGGACAGAGGAGCCTGGCGGGCTATAGTCCACAGGGTTGCACAGAGTCGGACGTGACTGAAGCCACTTAGCACGCACACACGCACGTGTAATAGATAAGTGAGTGGATGAATCTAACTATATTTGTTTCTAGCCTTCTCAGTCAGTCCCCATCAACTAGACTAAGAACTTGCTGAAGATTGTAACTTATCACCTCTGTACCCCCACAACTTTGCCCAATGCTAGAACCATAGGAAATGTCAAACGATGCATGTTTTGGAATGGATAGCAGGGAAGGAGAGGGAGAGGAAATGGGCAGAGGAAAGGAGAAGGGGTGCCCGTGACTGACACCAACTGTTCTATTACAGGCTTACGCTCCCTTGGAATGACAATCACCCAGTGTTACGAAGAAGTTGGCCTGCTGCTCCTGTTTCTATCTGTGGGAATCTCTATATTTTCAACTGTGGAATATTTTGCTGAGCAGAGCATCCCCGACACAACCTTCACAAGTGTCCCTTGTGCCTGGTGGTGGGCCACAACGTCCATGACCACCGTGGGATATGGAGACATCAGACCAGACACTACCACGGGCAAGATTGTGGCCTTCATGTGTATCTTATCGGGAATCCTTGTCTTGGCCTTGCCCATTGCTATTATTAACGACCGCTTCTCCGCTTGCTACTTCACCTTGAAGCTCAAGGAAGCAGCTGTGAGACAGCGTGAGGCTCTGAAGAAACTTACCAAGAACATAGCCACTGACTCATATATCAGTGTGAACTTGAGAGATGTCTACGCCCGGAGTATCATGGAGATGCTTCGACTGAAAGGCAGAGAAAGGGCAAGCACCAGGAGCAGTGGAGGGGATGATTTCTGGTTTTGAATTCACTTGCAGTTCACTCACAAAACTTGTGTAAAACCAACTTGATTGATAAAGCCTTGATATGGATGTCTGTACACTGCCGCTGAATCTATTTTGAGTCCTGCCTGTGTTCATTTTAGTTGACTCATTGCTTGGTCCTCTAGAATAGTCCACATCCCCCCAAAACAACAGCACATTGTTCTGACACACTTGAGTCTCAAAAATAGCCATTTAACACAACCCAAGGCAACAAGGCCAATCGACACATGTTGGAGTTGTCAAATATAAAATAATAGTGCAATGCATACAAGAACGTTAAACGTTTTCCTATCACTAATTTTTAGTCTTTTGCACCTCTAATTTTAAAGGATGGACATTAAACGGCATAGCCCAGAGCAAAGATAAGTGAACATTGAAGATCATGGTGGACAATTTTGCTATAAAAAGATACTCTCCAAGTAAGTAAATCACTCCTTTCTTGAACAGTTAAAGCTGCTGAATATAACAATTAGCTTTTCGAGAGAAAATCCTGATTTGATGATCATAGACTGAGTGCCCGTCTTTCCTCTGGTGCAGACATTGGTCCCAAACGGAGTGAGCTCTGTGTTCCATCATTAGTTTTGAAGGTAGAACCCAAACACTCTAGGCTGTGGGAAAAGAGTGCTAACTAAAGGCTTTGAGAATTGCACTTCCTCATCATTCCCATGGAGTGCATATGTGGAGCATAAAGGCAATATCTCTTTATACTCCATGGAAACTAGATGGTCTTTAAATATCTCATTATTGACTCAGTGTTCAAGTTATGTCTTTAAAATGGTGACTTTGTAAGTAAAGATGAAGTGGTGAGGATCTTAAATGTATATACACTGAAATTATTAAATCATCTTATTTCATAATATGAGAATGTTATGTTGAATGATACCATTGGATGAATTTGACAAGCTTTTAATTGTTAACAAAAAGTATTGTGCATAGCTTTCTGACCATTGGGGTAAATAGCAAATGTTCCAACTTTACATGCATTTTGACAGTATTTCAGGATAAAATAAAATTCCTAGTCAGTTTGTTATATAATTAAAGCCAACAGTTCTAAACCTGGGAATTAGTTTATGATTTCCAATGTTCTTATAAATGAGATTTCAAAAACTAAGAATAATATAGAGTATTATTTTCATACCTGCAATCTCAATGAATATAATAGTGTCCCCAAGGGGACAAAAATTGTTTCTTGGAGGGGGACAAAAAAAATCCTACTGTTTTTATTCACACAACACATATATCCATGCAATACACAAAAAAGATTATAGTGTATATCTTTGGTATTAATATTCCATGGGCTGGGAAATTTTTAAAAATGCCTAACAGGTCCTTTCTAGGATTCAGTTATGGTAAGAAATAAACACTGAGAAAGACAAATTTAACATATGTCTGTATAATATGTCATTAAATCTATTTAAGGATACCTTATTATATTATTAACTACAGACAGAGAGAAAGAGAGAAAAGACAGGAAAAAGAACAAAAGAAAGTCCAATTAATTGTAAGATACCACTGATTGCAAAATGTATCCAGATTTTGGATATGTAAAAATTTTAAAATACACATCTTAAAATCAATGAAATATCATATACAGTACCTCTAGTTTCTGATATGCATGCTTAAGCTCTAAAAACCTTGTCATTGATGGCATGAATTTTAAATTGTAAGCTAAAATACTTTAATCCATTTGGCTTGTTTCCACTTCTCCCAAATATTATGAAATATTTAAGAGATATATGAGTAGTAATAAAATAAATATTTTCCCTCTTACACAATTCCCAGGTGCTAGAGCATACCGCAGGGCCACTTGTCCTAATATATATGCCACCCACAATCTGAAGGGGAAATAGACACAGAAGCAAACTCATCCTGGCTTATTCTAGAACTCTCCCCAAGAAGAGATCCAGGCTGTGCTCTGTACTCATCATGTATTCTGTCACTGTATTTTCAAGGTACTCCTATTATATAATTACTATTGCTTAACTCTTCTAATTTATAATTTATATATTTATCCACCCAACAAATATTGATTCAGGATCCATTTATGTGCTGGGACTTGAGATTCTTTGTTAAACCAGATCAAGTCCTATTCTCTTGCATTGAATATTCTATTCAAGACTGTGAGGGGAACACAGATGAAAGCGCAAAGCCGAAGCACAAAAAGATGAAGGGGCCTACCCAAATTCACACAGCCCATGGAGAGTGCCAGAACCAGGAATGAGTTCCTGCTGGTCCCTGAAAATGGTACTCCTTGAAGGTAGATGACAGATTTCATTATTCCCATATACACTGCGCCCAGGAACACGCTTCAGGGGCAAGTAAGCCAATGTCTTAAGGCTAGAGAGAGTCAATATGCCTTCAGAAAAATATCAGCTTATTCTCAAAGGTGGCATGGTACATCTAAGGAACAGCTGTCACACCATGTAGCCACAATTACACAAGAAAAACATTATCTTTAGAATAATTAATAACTAGAAAATGAAAAAGTGCATTACATGTCTACTTTTCCTACTGCAGAAAATGCTAATATGTTCTCCAGAAATATGGTGTGTGAGCTGTATAAATTTTGTTGAGATGTGGACATTTCAAAAGAAATTTTAAAATATTACTGCTTAGTCAGTTTTGCTGTTATATAAAATATTGGTGTATCTATTCAATAAATTGTACACATAAGCAAACCAAATTTAAGTAACAAATCAAGCCAAGAACTGTAATTTTATATTCTAATATTTTTAAAATTTGATATTTGTCAAAAGTCTAAGAATAATTGCTATAGAACAATATTTAATTTGTTTGGACATATAAATAATTTGGCTATAGGCTATTTAAAGAGCACTAGTTAAAAACAGGAGAAGGAGATGGCAACCCACTCCAGTATTCTTGCCTGGAGAATCCCATGGACGGAGGAGCCTGGTAGGCTGCAGTCCATGGGGTCGCTAAGAGTCGGACACGACTGAAGTGACTTTGCAGCAGCAGCAGTTAGAAACATTTGAGTGCATAGAAGTAATGTTTGACTACCTAAAGGAGCAATTTTAATAAATTACTGAGGTATGTATGGTAGAAGTGGCCTCAAGTTCATGTTTTACTGGGATTTTTTTTATATATATTAATACAAGGAATAGTTGCATTTATCATTTTAATGCAAATTAGTATAAGGCATAATGTATTAAATGCACAAAGAATGTACCTGAGGTAGAAATCTCAGTGCTGTGTTTCAATGTGCGATTTTTGTTCTCATTAAAATCATTTGACTAGTTCTTGCAGAAAATATACATGTTGGCCCAAGTTATCTGAGTAAAACATTATCACTGAGTAAGCTTACTGCTTTGACAAATATTTCCACTGATACATTCTGTTAACATGAAAAGCCTGCTCTTTTGAAATATGAGCCACTAATATCTCTGCCTTATCGGTCCTTCGGTTCTGTCCAGGATGCTATCCTTTGGCAAATGATATGTCTAGTGCTTCCTTTGGTGATTTTCCTTCGCAAAAGCACCCCCACTCCCAAACCTGTCTCTGAGCCATGCTGATATATTAATAAAAATGTCACTTAAGGAGAATTTTACTCACAAACCCCAATGGTACTTGCTTATGTCTTTAGGGATGCTGGGTAACCTGGATGCTCACCATCTTCATCCCTTCTCTTGCCTTGTGTTAAAATCACTCCCTTGCTGACCACCTCAACTCCATTGCCCCTGTCTTCCCTCAGTATTCAACTGGTAAAATCCAAACCCTAATTAATTCCAACCCATTGCCTATTTCTGCTGTCCCTGCAGAGTTGGTCATGAAGACAGAAAAAAACCAACGTGTGCTGACTGCTCTCATTTTACATTCATGCCTAAACCCCAAATGGGTTCTTAACACCGCAAGGCAATCATACTGCAATTCCTGAAGCTATTCACTCTCTCTAGATAAATATAAACCTCTCACACCTCCCTTTGATTCCACTTTCACTCAGAAAATAGAATCAGTTAGAAGAGATTTTTCCACAAGGGCCAGCACCCACATTTATCCACCTACCTCCATCTGTGCCTATTCAATCTGCCTTTCCTTCTATTATAAGAGTTGAACTGTCCACCCTTCTCTGAAACTCAGGGACATGGCTTCAGAATGCCTTTCCCCTCTTCCTTCTGTACCATCTCTTTTCCCCCTCCTTACTGGATCCTCCCTATCAAGATAGAAAACATAGTTTCATTTTTTTAATCTTAGAAACAAAACAAAAGCAAACAAATGAATAAAAACACCCAACACCCTGCTCTCCTTTATGGCAAAACTACTTAAGAGCTTTCTCTATACAATTTTCTTCATTTCTATACAGTATCACTCTCCCCTCCAATTCTTTCTTGATAATCCACTGAAATCCATCTCCCACCATACTTCTCCGCTATAGCTTTGTTCTTAAGGTCAGCAATTACCTCCGTAATTGCTAAATCCAGTTGTTGATACTCAGACTTCATGTTGCTTGGTCCATCAACAACATTTACAAGGTTACTTAAAGACTTCAGCATAATTGAAAAACTTTCTGCTCTTGACTGCCAGCCTATCACACTCCTGATTTCCCTCCTACCTCCTCGCTCATTCACCTTTTCTGGTTGAGAGGGTCAGTCTGGGCTTAATCCTCAGGCCTGTCCTTCTCTCTATTTCCATCATTATCTTGGTCAACTCACCCTGTTTTATTGCTTATGTACCACTGATACTTGGTCAACTCCCAAATTCCTGTCTCCAGAATAGACCTCTCGTCTTACTTCTTGCATCTTCAGATTTATGTGCATAACTGCCTATTCAATGGCCACACCTGAGCATCTAATAATACTTCATGATGAGCACATCTGATACCAAATTATTGATATTCCCCCCCCAAACCTATGTCAGATGAAACGCTCTGAGAAGCAGATGCCACAGCAGCTGATTGTTTGTAATTATGTGCAAGACATTTATTGTAGAAGAAAATAGCTTGTGAAAGATGAAGAGGAGGAATCTGAAGAAAATGGGAAGAACCTTCAGACCATGATACAGGTCTGACACCTGAGGAGAAGATGGAGAGATGAGGATTAGGTCAAAAGAGTCTCTGACTACAGTCGAATTCTAAGAAAATTTCCACAGAGTTGATGGAGAGTTCTGAGCAAAAGTAGCCCATTAAGGAACCCCACTTCTTTTTATAAAGGGATTCAATGGGCAACAGCTCAAGCCATCAGTCAACCATGCTGCCCTCAGGAGGAGACGAGAGTGGTGCATTTTCACAGCCACCACAGTTAAACCCTGGAACTGTGCAAGTGTGCTTCCTCATACATGCCCAGAAGGAGCCCCTCCAAGAATCCTATGGGCCTCTCTTTGTGAATAAAAAAAAAAAAGGAGTTAATGGAGGAAGTAGAGCATTCGTTGCTGTCGTTGGTCTCAGAAGAGCAGCAGGTAGTCATCCTCTCCCTCCTCCACTATCCGCGGGGGCACCCCGCCACAGCACACGCTTTCCCCCACGAAACCCTTGCAGCCTAAAAAAGTTATAAAGAGAACTTTAATCTGCTTATGCTTTTCTCTACCTCAAAGAAAACTTGTACAACCTGAGAAACACTTTATTATTGTGTCCTGAGTGCATAACCATAATTAGTTATGTGGCACAGAATTGTCATTGCCATGTTTTTTACTTTTATCCTTGAACAAAGAAATGGCACTAATAAAGTGATATTACAGGGGAAAATTTCAAAACAATTTAAATTCTGAACTGGTAGCATCACATTCAGTATGGTACTATTTAAATCGGCACTCAATAATCCAATGACTGAAAAATACTTTCCTGTTTATATTTTAATTTATATGGAGCCACTGAAGTAGATAAATTCATTTGGTCTTCAACAACATGATGCAACTAAATTTGAAGTAATACGGGAAATATATTAACTTTTGGATTTCCTCTTCGTGTTCTAAGTCAAGGGACATTTCTTCCAAGTATATAAAATCTTACTTTGATTTCTTTAGAAGGCCTATAGTCTGAGATTTTATAGGTAAAAGAGGATAAGGGTAAGTGTGTATTTTCTACATTGTTCTGTTGTTCAATACTCAAAATATTTCCAAAGAAATAAGATTAATAGTTGAACTGGAGAAGTTTTGATAAGTTTGATCCATGCACACACGCAGATTGAGAGGCAGAGAGAGAAAGAGAGATTGAGAAGTAAAATTTTAGAATAACAAACGTAATCTTGAAATATGGCAGGGAAAATGTTCTTTGCAAGTATCAATAACACTTCAATACTTCACACTGGATATGTAGATAGAATTTCAATCATCTACTTAAGCTAAAAAATTGAATTTTCCTTAAAAATTATTTTCAGTGTCTCTAAACTAGGACAATTTTCCCAAAACCATGTCTTTACACATGTCTTTGCTGTATAGCAAATGTTTTATCTTAGACTATAATTATTATTGTCAACTAATTCTAAATGGTACATGTGAAAATAAAAGACAGTTACAGTTGCTATGGAAACTATACTTTGCAGGAAATTCATTCAATGGGACTTGCTCCTCAAATTTAAAAAAAAAATAATAACCTTCACATACAATTGTACCACCTTGACCACAAGCTTCAGGAAAAGAAAAATAAAGGAATAAAATATGAATAAAAGCCATTCTTCTACCTTTAGCTGTACTCATATCTTATTTCCTCACATGAGCTAATTATTATTTTAAGATTTTAAACAAAGGGAAATAGCTGCTTCTTACAAAAGTCTCTAGGGATAATAGTGGAATTTCTTTTTTTAAGCTAAAATAGAATATTTAACTTTACAATAATTTTAAGAAATCTATTATCATTGGACATTTGAATAACTTTAACTTATTATTTATCTACTCTCAATTTTAATTAAATATTCTATATAATTTTTCACACATACTAATAAAATATGCCAAAGAAATAACTCAAAGAAATAAAGTTGTTTGATTCCAAACTCCTAAGTAGACAGGCAAATAAGTCCTATATCTTCACTTGGCGCTTATCATATTATCTTCTAAATAAATCTTCAGGGACATTTTAGCAGACATATTTGAAGACTTGGTTAGCAAAATCATCTTTCTCACCCATTGCTAACATGTATTTTCTAGAGCCCTTTTTCAGAGCACAGAGCAAAAGTTTTACATTTAATTTCACATGATAGCCTTTAAAGAATATTGTACACAGAGAGAGGGGCTAGGAAACTGATATTTACATAAACAGGATAATTTATGGTCTAGAAACAAAAAAGAATTGGAGCACAATTTGTCCAATCCATATCAGAATTGGCCAGGACAGTATAATAGCAGCCTTTTGCTATCTTCTTCCAAATTTCAAAGGTTGAAAGATCTTGTGGCTCAAAGAATGTGTTTTAAAACAAAACACCCATCTTGGAGTCAAATAAAAGTAATTTTTATTAAAAAAAAAATGCTAGAGCTGTTTTCCATACCTGTGTGGTATTCCTCTGTTATCATTTTAATATGAAAATAAGATCCCTTTTAAAAGTAATTAATAGCTCTTACTCCCAAATTTAGAGACAACTTGAATTATTTTAACAGAGAGTGTGTGTGTGTGTGTGTGTGTGTGTGTGTGTGTGTTTAACTGCAGATCAAAAACCATTAAAGGATGATGAAATAAACTTTCAGTTGTGACCACTATTAATGGAGTGGATGGAATAGAATGGAATGGAGGCAGAATAAAATGGAATGGAATGGATGGGATAGGATATAAGATAGCATAGCATACAATAGACTAGAATATATTAGAGTAAAATTCACAAGCCTGAAGCAAGAACTACCCACATTGCAAAAAGGCACTATAGCTGATTCTAAGAACTGTGGAAAGGTACATGGAGGGGATGAGTCAGAAGCACTCACTGGCTAGAAAAGAATTACTTGACCTTATTTCTTCATTTCTAAAAAACTTTTGAAACTTCAAAATCAAAACATAATTGAAAATTTAGCAAACTGACTTGATGTTGCCTAAAGTATTTTCAAGGAAAAAATTAATTTGTCAATATAATTCCATAATTTTCTATAACTGCTAATAAAAAAAGTATTTTGCCTTATTTAATTCATAATTTGAGACAAAAGAGAAAATAGAATGGCTCACACAACTTTCCAAAGAATTATTCTTACAGTAGGTATGGAAATGGATTATCAGTTCAGTCCAGTCGTGTCCAACTCTTTGTGACCCCATGGACTGCAGAACACCAGGCTTCCCTGTCCATCACCAGCTCCTGGACCTTGCTCAAACTCATGTCCATTGAATCAGTGATGCTATCTGACCATCTCATCCTCCGTCGTTCCCTTATCCTCCTGCTTTCACTCTTTCCCAGCATCAGGATCTTTTTCAATGAGTCAGCTCTTCACATCAGGTGGCCAGAGTATTGGAGTTTCAGCTTCAGCATCAGTCCTTCCCATGAATATTCAGGATTGATTTCCTTTAGGATGGACTGGTTGAGAGTCCAAGGGACTCTCAAGAGTCTTCTCTAGCACCACAGTTCAAAAGCATCAATTCTTTGGTGCTCAGCTTTCTTCGTAGTCCAACTCTCACATAATACATGACTACTGGAGAAACAGTAG